GTACTCAAGTTATCGTGTTTACACACGGACACACAGACAGACAGACAGACAGACAGACACACAGACATACGGACAAGATTGCAAAATAATGTTTTTCCGTATCAGTGAGGTGTAAAACGTCGAGATTTGCAAAAATCTCGATTTTTTTTGCACGATTACAAGACTTCTCTATACTTCGTATATACGAGAAAGTAAAAAATACACCACCTATTCACCACTTCTTGACCAACAAAAAAAAATGGAACCAAAAAAAAAAAAACATTTATATTTTATCAAAGAAAAAATATTATTTTAAGTTTTATCTCTCAAGACAAACCATTTGACCGGCACTGAATGACTTCTTCGTTCTTAATTCTAGTGTTGGAAGAGATTCCCCACGATAAAATTAGGTGATTAGTGTCAAATCGTTCTGTGTCAAGTAGGCCGTTGCCTCTAATTTCAACATGCTTTTCTTTTTAGATTTGCTTCTAAATCCTTAATCCAAACAATAGCAAGCTACAAGAGAGTAGGGGTTCAAACTCGCAGACATGAACTTAACCGACCATGACCGACACATTTTCAGAAGTTGCATTAACAATAATATCATCTGATGAACTACCGGAATATTTTCTGTTCAATAGTAGATGGTCTGTTTTGATAAACAATTTTGATAAACATTTAGTACTTTGGGCCTACGACGCAACATACAACTCAGTTGACCTATTTGACATGTAATTGATAAGTCTATCAATCACTATGAAAAGTATTTCAAACTGGTTTATCTATGTGTGTGTTTATTCATGTATAATAATATATTGATAGTTCTCTAATCTAATTAGAGCAATCTAGTAAAGAAAAACAAAACTTAAATACATAAGCTGCACAAAAACCTGTACAAACATGTTACGGTAGGCGGTTTGTATTGTACAATGAAGTGATAGTTTATAAATATAAGACATTATCATGCGAAAACTATTTAGAGGCATATCTCCATGCTTGTAACATCCATAGAACAGTTTCAATAGAGAATTACATCTTAGTTGAAGGCGTCTCTCTTAAAGATATTCACTGGTAGTTTGCATGTTAATTTAAAATGATTATGAACTTGCATTATCTTTAATATCGTTTTTTACTGCCTATTTTCGCAGCAAACTATAACCTTCAACGATTGAATAGTAATATGTTTTACATTTGTATTTTCCCTAATACAGGTTGTTGAGTTTTATAATTGTACAAAGAGACTGACAGTTTTTGCCCCCCACCCCTCCCCCACCGACACTAGCAGTTGGTATTTGACATTTTGTTTGGGATTATCATTTCGGTGCGAAAATATTTTTTCTATGCGATTTTATTTAAATTAAAATGTGTATTATTGAGTTGAAAATTAATAATTTATTAGCCGTCGGACCCATTTCATGTGAATTATAGATCTATATATTTTAAATGATAAACTTGTTTAAAAAAATATTTTATAAAATAGCTATTGGTCAAAACGCCATGTGCTTTACTACACGTGTAACGATATTTGTGACAAAGCAAAGAAATAACTACTTAGCTAAAAATCTGACACATTTAAAATAACATAGGCTACCAATGACTATAAGAAAAACCAAATTATATACATTATTAGACAACACAACACCATATCAAATGAACACACTGATTAAGAGAATTAAATGATTCCATTAAAAAACCGTCTGTTCAATGGTTTTTCTGTTGTGTTTTAAAGTACTTTGTATTACTTTTGTCCGAGAAAATTGTATAGCCTACGTTTCGTTTATATCTAAATCATATTTGAATGAATTAGTTCACAGTTTATATTCTAAAATTGGAAGATGACTGCCTTAGTGTTTGTGTACTGTCCATAATGTGTCATCTGACGTCATTGATTATAGCGTTCTTGTCACAACCATAAATAATTTTCCGGTTGCATAATTAAAATTCTACATAGAGAAAACACAAGCAGAGTAAAAACATACATAGTGATTCGAAAAACGAAACGTGACGTCACGTGGAGCATATAGTTGAAAGTAGTCTAAAGCCGGAGAGCGCACACAGTAATATGACGTCATTGATTCTCGAGTAAACATTGAATTAAAAACACAATTTTGTCTAATCTTAAAAGTGGTTTGCTTGCAGAGTTTATTTCGTGCAATTACTCGGGTAGGGGCGAAGCCCCCCCCCCCCACCCCATAGAACGTTTAAGCCACCCTTCCCCCCCCCCCCCCCCCTCAAAAGAAATGATGTCATCGATACTCTATAAAAAAAAGACTGACATTACGGCCTAATTCATGTGTCTAATCTTAAAAGTAGTATGTGTGCACAGTTTTTATCGGTAATCTCTTGAGGTAGGGGCAAAGCCCCTGCTCCCCCCCCCCCCACTCCCGCGGTAGTACGACTAATTCCCACCCCGACCCCCCTCCGAAAAAACGAAATATAATTTATATTGGAAATATATACTTTACCAGTGTCGGCTTCCCCCGCCCCGGAGAATTGTTTTCGCCCCTGCAAAAATTCGTGCCCCACCCCGGAAAAATGTGTGAAAGAAACACTGTCTAAGTGAGTGAGGTTTATCGGTAAAAAGTAGGAAACGAGTCTATATTATAGAAGTGGGCTCTACCTTTAGTTTGTATAATCTACAATAGCGACAATTGTTCCCCCAAGACAAGGGGTGGGGGGGGGTACTTGAAATTTTCGGGGATAGGGATTGACTAAATTTTCTGAAAGGGGGCGGGCACTGATAAAAGTATATAATTCTATTTCGTCGAATAGGACGGTAGACGTAGCTTGGGGTGTGTGTTGGGGGGGGGGGGGGGTTGGCGGAAATAGAGTCGCCTGAAAGAAACTCTAAATGTGACTTTTGTCATGATTGAGACTAAGTGCAAGGTTTAGGGGTGTGGATACGACTATACTTAGTACCAATGCAAGTACCTACGTGTAGATAAAGCTTAAATACAACTAAAATGCCGATTCTGGATAAAAAAAAATCTGTTTACAATGTCATTTTTCGTTTCTGGTTCAATGTGGGTTTAAGGTGGTAGCTTTGGTTTTGGTTTAAGTTTAGAGAAAAGAGACGACATCATCAACCTAACGCCCGTTGTATCCTTCCTCAACGGGCCATTTATCTCGTAATATAGTATTTTGGGATATTTCTGATATCTCAAAGACCTTTACAATCTTATAACTGTATATCGTCCTCTTATAAAGCATACTGTAAGAAAGTTTCGGTTATATAGGTCTATATGTTTTCTAAAAATTAATGAGCTGTTCAAACACGTTTTAATTATAAATAGTCAGATAAATGAACAGGTTACTTCGTATCATCGCGATAACCTTATGTATCGCCGTTATAAGAAGTACACCTACCTTTTATCATAATTGCGGATAATGTTCTTACAGGTTTGTTTTAAAATATGTGTGGGCCTACAATTACTAAATTAATAATCTAAATACAATATTTTACGATTAAAACTTTAATAAGATATTAATTTTATCATAATATAATTTATACTTTATCTATTTTAAGTTTTATAACCGATTTTTTCATAATACATTTATATAATGGTTGTGTCTTAATGAGTAGGCTATAACTGTGTTCAGTTTTTCTTCCAGACTTTTTTCTCCGTGGGGGGGGGGGAATTTAAATTTCCTGACGGGTGGGAGCACTGTTAAAAGTATGTATTTTCTACATAAATTCCTTTTCGTTCCAGCGGGTGGTAGACTCAACCCCTCGGAAGAGATGCCTGGAAGAAACAATGCAGGTGTAATAAGTCAGGCTGACATTTTATACATCAAACTTGGTGTCAAACGGTTATTTTTGTCGAGATTTTGTCATGTCAGGATAGCACCATAGTTTCATTTTGTTTTATATCTATCTTGTTGACAGTTATAACATATCTTAATAGTGTAGTAAACTGATATCTTCGGGTTTAGTAATAAAATCGTGTTATTTAATTACACTCGTAAATTAAAATAGAATACTACAAGAACTGTGAAATCGTTTTAAATTTGTGTACACGATTTCAATATATTATTTGTAGAATATAATATGAAAATAATATGTATAAAGAAAGTAGTGTGATCGTGCAAAAGGTCGAATTCGACGTTTTCCTTCTCCCTGAGTCGTAAAAATTTGTGTTTAAATGTCTCTATGTGTATGTCTGTATACGCGTATATCCGTGAACACGATAACTTTAGCACTGTTTCAGGTATGTTGTCGACATTCATATGTAAGTATTATATCAAATTTGTAGAGTTGTATTAATTTCCGTGCGATTTCCGATAAACGGAAGTGGTAATTACTCTACTTCCGATTTCTCAAAAAAAGGTTCTTATAAGTATACAAATGATGAACATGCTTTTATCCATTTTTGAACGATTTTCAGAAAACAGAAGTGTTACTTTATTTTTATCATTGTGACCACTATAACACGGGTACAGTATGAGTTGAGTAAACTTTAATGAAATAGCATATATAAGTATATGATCTTATATTTTAGCCACTTACAATTTTGGATTGATCTCCGACAGACGAAAGTGAAACTTTACTCTATTTCTGGTTTTTAAAATACCAATATCTTGAGTACCGTTTGAGTTAGGTGGACAAAATTTCAAACAAAGGAATACGGTACTATTCTTTTGATTCGCTTCATATTTTAGAATGAGAGTGAACCAAAAAACAATGGAGGTAAAATGGACATTAATGATGTATTATTCAAAACTTTCACCAAAAACATATTTAAGTGTGAAATTCAGATATATAGTAAGTTTTGTTTATTTTTAGAAATACACATGTATGCAATCGAATATATATATATATATATATATATATATATATATATATATATATATATATATATATATATGTATATATATATATCTATATATATGTATATATATATATATATATATATATATATATATATATATATATATATATATATATATATATATATATATATATATATATATATATATATATATATATATATATATATATATATATAAACTTATATTCATAGATAGCTAGGCTACTGTTGTTAGGAACGGTAATAACCCAAGCGGTGAAGCATGAGATTTATGGTAAGATTCTTTTTAGTACGTTTTAATACTTATTAACCAACTCATTACCAATGGTTCTATTTAGCATTTAGAGGCTCAAATGTCACTATGTTATAATTATTCCAATCATTTAAACTGTCTTTTTTACCATATTTTAGGTGGTTTATGTGAACAATGTGAAGAAACCAAGCCTTGCATTATCTCCTATAATTTTCAAGCTAGTAAAAACACCCAAATACAATTCGCATGGTATAGTCCAAACAACGAGGTCATGACCTGCTCCACTAGAGGCAACGGTAGATGCAACATTTACCCACAATATAAAGGTCTTATAACATATTCAATACAAAAAGAACAAGAGTATATAATCACTAACCTGATCATTACAAATACCAGTCGAGAAACTAGAGTAATTACAATGGAGGGAAAATGGACTTTAATGATGTACTATTCCAAACTTTCACCAAAAAACATATTTACGTGTGAAATTCAGATATACAGTAAGTTTCGTTCATTTTTAGAAAAACACATGTATGCATTTGAATATATATATATATATATATATATATATATATATATATATATATATATATATATATATATATATATATATATATATATATATATATATATATATATATATATATGTAACTAGTGTAGTTACAAAAACAACGTATCTGGTTGTCATAAAGGTCAAGGCCAAGACTGAACTGAGCTATTTAAAGTTCTTATGAAACTTTTGGGACGTAGATGATGTGACTAAAATAGAATTTGACTTGAAGACATAAAGGACAAGCTATTAATAGAAACGATGCAATTGCCGTTACCGAAATAGAATAGTTTGACCTTGATATACATTATTTACAATACCTGATGTACATGAGGGTGTTACTGGGTATATATAAGCAGCGATACTTTTGGGTAAGAGCGTGATCGAAGATGCGAGCTGAGATACAGATGTATGCTGAAGCGAGACAGAAGATGTGAGAAATAGGTTTACAAACGAAGATGGAACGATCGGGCGCTGGAATGAAGAGAGCTATAGAATGGATTGAATGCAGAGACAAGTAATTGGAGATTGGAGTAATACAGTGTGTGGACCAGTGACATGGGAGGTCTGTTAAGTTTCACTTAATTACCTAACTGTGATTATTCATGAAGGAATAAATTGCTGTTATATTGAACCTGCGGGCAGAGTGTGCTTCTTTATATCAGGTGGGTGGATCGGTGCCAAAATCAGGTTTCCTCGGCCTAGAGGTGGGAATTCCTAAGTCGCGTGCTAATACCTACAGACAGGAGGTTGTACATGCCTCTGTCTCATTTGGGTGCCGCACAAGACCTAACAAAGAATGTCACACATGCTGCTGCCGCACTTGGTGACACACACAAATAAATAAGTATATATATATATATATATATATATATATATATATATATATATATATATGTATATATATATATATATATATATATATATATATATATATATATATATATATATATATATATATATATATATATTCCACAGAAAAACCCGAAAATGTCCAATGCAAAGTAGAATTTCTTCCGAGAGGATTGCAAATACGATGTGTTGACTTATACACTTATCCAGTATATGTGTGTATATTCGATGCAAAAATTAATAAGGTATTTTTGGGGAATTTAACATACCTTTTTCAAATTGAAAATAGTACTTATACAGAAACGTTATATTTTTTTTTTGCATAAACGTATAGGCTTATATACGTTTGTTTTGGCTTGGTTTAGTCGATATAGTCATGGTTGCTAAACCGACTAGTCTCACGGATAATTTAGGCTGTGGACAGCAACTCATTTAGGAGCGATAATTCCTAAATGAAACACCTGAATATAACAAAGAAGCACTAGACATACGACCTTCCAGTAAGGTCACAGGCAGTGCACATGAGTTCATAGGATCACTTCAACGGCTACGCTTTCATGACCAAGTCGAGAAATCTAGAAGGATGCATCCGGCTGAGTCAGAAATGGAGATGTGTGGGCGCCGCCGCAATGGGATTATTAGCCTTTAAGCAAATCACTCGGTTGTTACCTAACGACACCAACTAACGTCAAGGGATGATTCTAGGTTTATATTGATATTTAGATTTAGGTTTTGGTTTAGGATTAGGTTTAGGTTTAAGGTTTAGATTAAGGTTTAGATTTAGATTTAGGTTTAGGTTTAGGTTTAGGTTTAGGTTTAGGTTTAGGTTTAGGTTTAGGTTTAGGTTTAGGTTTAGGTTTAGGTTTAGGTTTAGGTTTAGGTTTAGGTTTAGGTTTAGGTTTAGGTTTAGGTTTAGGTTTAGGTTTAGGTTAGGTTAGGTTTAGGTTGAGTTTAGGTTGAGTTTAGGTTTAGGTTTAGGTTTAGGTTTAGGTTTAGGTTTAGGTTTAGGTTTAGGTTTAGGTTTAGGTTTAGGTTTAGGTTTAGGTTTAGGTTTAGGTTTAGGTTTAGGTTTAGGTTTAGGTTTAGGTTTAGGTTTAGGTTTAGGTTTAGGTTTAGGTTTAGGTTTAGGTTTAGGTTTAGGTTTAGGTTTAGGTTTAGGTTTAGGTTTAGGTTTAGGTTTAGGTTTAGGTTTAGGTTTAGGTTTAGGTTTAGGTTTAGGTTTAGGTTTAGGTTTAGGTTTAGGTTTAGGTTTAGGTTTAGGTTTAGGTTTAGGTTTAGGTTTAGGTTTAGGTTTAGAATTAGGTTTAGAATTAGGTTTAGAATTAGGTTTAGAATTAGGTTTAGAATTAGGTTTAGATTTAGGTTTAGAATTAGGTTTAGAATTAGGTTTAGGATTAGGTTAAGAATTAGGCTTAGGTTAAGAATTAGGTTTAGGTTAAGAATTGAGGTTTAGGCTTAGATTGATGTTGAGGTTTAGGTTTAAGTTAAGTTACATATACACAATTACATTCACATTCACATTCACATTCACAAGCACATGCACGATCACGTGCACGTGCACGTGCACGTACACGTACACGTACACGTACACGTACACGTACACGTACACGTACACGTACACGTACACGTACACGTACACGTACACGTACACGTACACGTACACGTACACGTACACGTACACGTACACGTACACGTACACGTACACGTACACGTACACGTACACGTACACGTACACGCACACGCACACGCACACGCACACGCACACGCTTACGCATACGCATACGCATACGCATACGCATACGCATACGCATACGCATACGCATACGCATACACATACACATATACAGACACGCCGAAAATAAACAGACACATATGTTTATTGTCTTTTATCGTTCGCAGGCACATTATCCACATTTAAGGACGGCATACAACCACACTGCAATTCAAACAGATCCCATTTATTATGGCTCTGAATGTTTTCTGATATTCGACTGTAACGATTTATTGCACGGTTTGATAGAGTATGCGGTTACTTTTGTTCCCAAAAATATGCAAGTGTATGAAATCTCTCTACATGGAGTAACTTATTCGAATTTTTTGAACATTGGTAATATACCGTATAATGTGTTTAAAACGCTATTTATTAGGTTTTGAGCGCAATTTCCATTCTGGAGAATTGCGTTTATTAACCCGTCATTTCTGGATGTATGAATGTATGAATGTATGAATGTATGAATGTATGAATGTGTGTCCGCAGCTTTAAGTCGTATCTCCTCCTCAACGAAGCAATATCGAGGACTAGTTCCAAAGCAATTATGTTAAGCAAGTTACCAGGATGATAGTGGGCCAAAAAAATTCCGGGTTTCTTTCATGGATTTCCCGGAAAAGCCAAAAAACCTCGGAAAATGCAGTTTTTGGCCCATATCTCGGCAACCAGACCACTTAGCGACTTGAAACATTTACCAATCGATTTCTGCCATAATTTAGAACAATATTGCCGAAGAAAGTTTTCAAAAATATCCTTTCGTTCGGTCACAAAATTTTTTTTTAATTAATTAAAATTTGGACCGAATTAGTAGGCATGTTTATCCAACCAAACCACACGCGTCATCACGTTCAATAGCTGCGCCATCACGTTCAATGGCTGCGTCATCATGTTCAGTAGCTAGGCGCGCAATGGTTTTTAGTCATGTAACTCTATTGTAAATAAAACATGTAAAATACTGAAAAAATTAATAAAAAACGTTTTAATAACTAACCAATGGTTTTACTAACCCTGCTCTTGATTTACGCTACGACAGAGCTATTTTTAGATAACATAAGGAAATTGCGCTAAAATTGTCACTAGACTTTTTAATTACCTTGTTTTACATGTCAGAATTAATTAATGTAGGCTACTTATTTTGCTTGGCTATTTCTTTAATGACTTGTTTTCTGCAGAGCACGTGAATGAACATGCATCATCGTATTTCAAGATTTTAGAGCATGGAAAAAAAGACACCGTTATTTGCAGGCAGGAAAAAATTGTGAATGAAACAACCATAGCTGAAGGCACTTTTATAAATAATAAATTGATAACGACTGCTAGGATTCCGGAAATGACTGAAAAGAATTACGGTAAATTAGCCTACGTTTACCATTCACTATAGTCAAGTGACAGTCGACCTAACGACGCCAATAAGTAGCGGATCCCATCTTCCTTCATGCTCTTTACTCATCAAGACAGTTTTCAATTTTCACAATTAACACATCGGAGTTGGTCGGAGTTAAGAGCTATCTTTATAACTATTGATTTAACGACTATCTTACTAAAATTTGCTTGAGCACAGTCTCCATGTTTTGGATAGAGTTAATTTATTATTGACTTTACAAGTGGACAAGTTTAATTTTAAAAAATCTGCGAAAACTACGGAACAAATGGATAGATGACTAATCAGCGGTCATATAATACACACATCATAAGATATTCGTTTGATCAAAAAACTTAAATTAACCCATTTGTAATAGTTTTCTGCTTTACAGACATTTTCCACTCAATATCAAAATGTCACTTTGCATCATTCTATAAAGTAAAGTGAGGCCAAGTGTATAACTGAAACTGTAAAAAAATTAATCTGGTATGGTATTCGAATTACTATATGCAACTAATTCAGGTTATACCAATTTTTTATGTTGAATTTTATGTCTAAAAACGCAGGGGTAAAATGGTTGCTTTTAAATTAAAGCATCAGCTTTTTAAAAATTAGTTTAAAATATTTTTCAGATATAAACAAATGGTTAACGGTGGAGTGGATCTTGCCATTTCTTCTCATTACTTTCATAGGTGAGGGTGTTTCTTCATACATGTACATTGTGGTTGTAACTAGATAAATTTCTTAGCATAATCAAAAGAATAATAATTTCGGTGGTGTATTTTAATGTATTGATAATAAGGTGTTTTTGTTGTTTTGTTCACAGCAATTGCTGCTTTTAAAATATGCATTCCGAAAAGGTAAAACAATTAATACAATCTTTGTTTATAAATTAAAAAGGTAACTGCAATAAGTTTTATACAAATAGAAATAAAACGGGTAATGGTGGTATCCTCGCAAATTTAAAATAATTACAGATATAATGGATGTTTCGACCCAAGGTCTTCTTTGGTACAAAGTAGTATGGTGTGATTTGTCGCCCTACGCTATCCTGTGAGCACTAATTGAGCCTACGTTCGTTTTAAGGAGCACCTTCAATATTGACAAAGAAACCTAGTCAGAGGCCCTACGTGGCGCCCCTGCGGTTGAGTAACCGGGGCTCACGAGAGCGCCTTATTGCGGTTGATGAAGTGCGTTATACCTCACCATTATGGAGAATAATTTACGTACACTCAAGGCTTTCATAGGGTAGGTAAACCTGCGCCCCGACAAATACGTTTCAAGAAATTTAGCGCGTGTATTTAAATGTTATTATACTTACATTTTTAAAAATATGTTATAGAAAACAAGATAAATCGTCTTTAATAAAAAAATTACGTTAGTTATACCAGTGTTTAATAGAGAAATCAAAGAGGGTCGTCATTTGGGTTTATCCAAAATTTTTAACACATTGTGGTTTTATTTTTAAAAAGTCGACAATATTTAAAAGCCTAATTTAGCCCATGTCGTGAGGACCAGAGCGATGAGAATAAATAAAGAATTAAGAGAATAAAGTGTGCAGTAAAATAGAGTATTTAAAAAAAATGATTAAAATGGGCAAAGGCTATTTCTTATAGGCTACAAGTGAACACATTATAACCAATAAAATCAGAATACACATTTTCACTTTGTCGCCTAAATACACAAACACTCGCTACCTTTCACAGTTCTCTCTTTCTATCTGTATAAATATTCAAAACATCAATATATGTAAGTATGCTTGTAATACATGTAATAATTTACATTTCTAAAGAAAAACAATAATAGGCCTACTATATCATCAAGTAGCATTAATACCGTGAGATAAGTGAATAGAGAATAGTAATTGCAAACGAGTTAGGTTCAAGTTGATTAGCATCATCTATTTCAGCAGAAAGGCGCTTGAGCGATAACAACGGCGCTAACAATGAGGGTTAAGCCCATTAAATAATGTTGGCCTTGAAAACATACTAAGTTTTCGCACGCGAGCACCAAATGACTTAATTAACGAGCAGACATCTTTCATTAGTCCCCTTTCCCACTCTCTATTCCCGCACCTGCCCTTAACCCCCACCTGCAAGTGTCCTGTAATCACGCGTCCTCTTATTTGGATGTCATGGTATTTAGACAAGATCTGATTTCACTCTCGGGATAAGTAAAAATATCACTGGTTTTTTTTTGTCTAGTCCTTAACCATTCTGTTATATTCTGACGAACACCTTGGGTCGAAACATCAACTATTCTAGTAAATGTCTTAAATCTTAGAGGATACTATTATCACTATATTTTACAATAGATGTCCGAAGTTCAAACTTATACGTTAAATGCATAATCTCATCGAATAAAAAAAAACGGTGGTCAATGATTATGTAACTAAATTAAAAAAACTAGTAAAGACTTTTAAAAAATATTTCAAGTACCGCTCATGTGTCTAAACACGCATACCAATCAGTGTTTCTTCCAGACATTTTTCTCTGGGGAGGGGGGGGGGGGGTTTGATATTGTCCGGGGGGGGCGGACACTGGCAAAAGTATATGTTTTATATATAATTCCATTTCGTTAGGAAAGGGGGGGGGGGGCGCGGTAGACTTTCTTCTGGTGGAGCTCGCCCCCCCCCCCCCCCCCCAATGGAAAAAACTGAAACCAATCAGAATTAAATTTTATTTCCGCTATCCCTTCTGTTACAAAATGTGCACTTTCTAACACAATTTTGAAGTCACTATTCATGTTTTCAACTGCTATAAGAGGTGTGTGGCGCAATTTACTATAACCATATGAAAACTTGGAACACACCACTATTTTATAAAATTGAACATGATTTGAGTATTGGAATACCTTAAATATTTAAACGTGTTTTTAGATCTAAAGAATTTGCGGGATTTCGTGAAAGCTTCGGTAAGTGTTATTTAAAATATTTTAAAAGCTAAAAATATTTATTTTTATTACAACAGTAATATATACATACCATTAAAACGTTTTTCTAGATGGAAAGTATTACAAATTAATTTTTTTTAAGAAGATCTTTAACTTCATTGTTTCATTTCAGAAAAGGAAATATGGAATCCGAGTCTTAACAACTACTATTACAATTTATTTGGAAAATATATAAACCGACAATGTAGTATAATACATTCTAGTATGTTCGAATATTAGGATTGTTTGAACCTGTTACATGCACACAGATATATGTCAAAGTAAGCTTCCTCTTTAGTCAGAAACTATGCAGCCGACCTGCTTTGCTTCAGTCCGGAAGCTTTGGACTTCCTCGAGTCATAAATATATGCTATATGTTACATTTGAAATAAGCATTTTGGTTATTTTGATTTGTATCACCCGCTCTTGCTCTTAAGGAAACCGTTTCTAGTTTAAAACTTGTAGAATGCTAAAAGTGTATAGCTGTGTTGTGGGTTGGGGGATGCAAAACTGATAGACCGCACTGGCTTTTAACTTTGTTGTTGCGATTATTAGAACTGAAAATTGTACATTTATCTCTACTTCTCTACTTCCCTTTTTTTCGTTATTAAATATATTCTCAAATCTTTTAGTGGCTGATTTCCCAGTTCATCTAGGGAAAATCTCGCTGGGAAGAAATTTTAGTGGATTTTCACTTTTGCAGAGTCACATCACAAATGGTGATTCACCAAAGGTACATCAATTAAAATTATTATAGATGGTAATTATATTAACTTACATGTATTCATTTAGTATCCATTTAGTTTTAAGCAAGTATTTAATTTTAAATAATTTTTAACACATGTGTATCTAGCTTCAACATCTTAAAACAGCTGATTCATATGAAGCCAGTGAAGAAAAAAATGAACTACAGAATTGTCAAAATAAGCTAAATAAAGGTATAAATCACACAGACACTATATTACATCCCTGCCATGGTGCGCGGACCTTTGACCACAGGTGCTTTGACCATAGGGGGTTTGACCATAGGGGGTTTGATCACAGCGGAGCTTTGACCATAGGGGCTTTGACCATAGGGGGTTTGACCACAGCGGGCCTTTGACCATAGCGGTGCTTTGACCATAGGGGGTTTGATCATAGGGGGTTTGACCATAGGGGGTTTGACCACAGGTGTTTTCTCAGCAGAGGGTCTTTGATCACAGGTGGTTTGTCAACGAGTGTTTGATCACAAGCGCTGTGTCCGGCTTTGATCATAGGTGTGATACAATTAACACGATTTTATACATGTTTCCTGTGAGTAGGTTAATAGAAATTAACATGTATTTAAAAAAAGCCAAGAACTAAATTTTAGTCTCCACATAAAGGCTGGTGCTAGACCTCATAGATTTATTTTAAATATAAATGAAGCACAAATAATGCGACATATAACAAGTTTCACAAATAAATAATGTAGAAGTACTTGAAAATACATAGCATATATAAAGGATAAAAAATGATACAAAACTTGCCAACAATATAGTCAAAGAAGTAATACTTAAAATGGTTAACTAAATGACAGATGTGCTATAGCACGCAAATATGTCAGTACATCTGTTTGACCATATTATTACATCATGTCGAAATTTAAAATATAATTTAGCAACTTTTAAAATAAATCCTTACCATATATGGACAGCATTGGATAAACCACCTGAGATCAAAGACCCTATGTGGACAAACACCTGTAGTCAAAGCCGGACACAGCGCTTGTGATCAAACACCAGTTGATAGACCACCTATGATCAAAGACCCTCTGCTGAGAAAACACCTGTGGTCAAACCCCCTATGGTCAAACCCCCTATGATCAAACCCCCTGTGGTCAAAGCACTGCTATGGTCAAAGGCCCGCTGTGGTCAAACCACCTATGGTCAAAGCCCCTATGGTCAAAGCTCCGCTGTGGTCAAACCCCCTATGGTCAAACCCCCTATGGTCAAAGCACCTGTGGTCAAAGGTCCTAGGACCCCTGCCATATAGCCTCCCCGGATTGTGTGTGTGTATCTATTATGTTCTCGGACAACATGTACCCTCTTTTTATAAACCTCTGTTATTTACCTTGGTTGAGTATGTTTACATACACTGAGAGGTGTTCATGTGAGGATTGAGAGTTGACAAGTGATGGAAAGTGCGCTAGGGTGTGTGTAAGGACTGTGAAAGGCCGTTTTATGTACGAGTATGCTGTGGTGTTATGTATTGTTGTATCATATTTTCATGATCTACTTCTTGTATTTAACACTTTTTTAATTTAGTACCAGCATTAGTATTGACGAGTCCGTTGTATTGTGATTTGCGCTGCTTTGTCCAATATTATTATAATTGAAAGATGAAGACGACAACATAAATTAGACATTTACGTCTAGATATTAAAAATCTAATATATAGTGTGCGAGAGAGAAAGAGAGTGAGCAAGGAAGAGTTAGATAATAATAAACAGTCAATAGTAATAATTCGATTCGCTTGAAAGTAGACTGATTGTATATTAATAGCATTTAAATAACATATTTATTTACTATAGCAGATGCAGAATTAGAAAGTTCAATAATCATGGATAGTGGAGTGTGTCAAAAAAATAAGCGTCATGAAAGATTTTATCTGGTAAACAAATTCACAATTAAAGATCTACCAAATGAATGTCAAGATAACTCAGTGTTTGATTACATAAAAATTATATCAGAGCTAACAGGAAGGGTGGACATTCATTTTACTAGTACAGACAGACCGGATGTTGACCCCATCACAAACGCTAAATACCCATGTTGGGATACAAAGAACACAAGAAATATGAGGACTGGAACGGGTACTGTTGTCTCTGTGTTAGAAGTTAGAGATGAGGAATGTCCGTGTCCTGAATGTGAAGAATCACCAAGTAGAGTGTTTTATTTGGTCTATGTACTTACAGCTAAACATGTTGTGTTTGATGACACTGAAGCTCGTCAAAGTTATTTTCGTATTGGATACAACACAGAAAAGTCGCCATTGCATCGATTGTATGGACTGAGGGTTGTTGAAAGTGACATGAACGATGGTCGGTCACTTGTTGAATATGTGACTCATGAATCCAAATTTGGCATTCATCTCTCCGATAATCTAACAAACCTCAATTTAACTGAGAAGAAAATTCCAGAACGTTTCCATTCAACAGATGACTATAAACTTGCTGTTATCGTCTCCCACCCACACGGGGAACCAAAACACGTGACCATTGGAGAATGGGTGTATAGAGAACTTATATCTACACCAACTGGCGTAAAGGCTCGTTACTTTTACACGACCGACACATGTCAAGGTTCCAGTGGTGCAGCTGTTATTGTCTTAGGTGACATGTTGCCTCGTGTGGCTGGACGTCCGATAGAACATCACATTTACCACACGACTGACAATGATGGACTTAGAGGACGCTGCTTTCGTATATTGAGCAAGTGACATCCCTAGGTCCCGTATTAAACTGTGCTGCTACTAAAGGGTAACCCAAACAGTTTTGCAATTTTGGTTTAGTGTCACCCGTCTCAGCAACTATTATATTAAATTAACTGGATAAATCATTGTTTTCATAGTGAATTTAAACTTCTTATTTCAATTTGGTGTCACCCTGAAAATTGTTTCAACGGGTGCGGTTTGCATTAACGACCCTGCCTAGTATGACTTACTTCAGTTAAAACTTTGGAAATTCTGCAGACTCTGTTTTAAGCACATCATTTTACTTGATCTCACATAAGCTGTCCTAGCTACATTCCACAGCGTTTGTTAAGGAGTAGGCAGGTGTCATCAGAAAAATCGAGATCTTTTACACTTTTGATGAAGTTCCTCTGAGTTATTGTGTCGTTGTTTGTAGTCTTCAGCACGATCCAGTCGATTACCATCAAGAATATCATTGGCTAAAGCATTCATTCATGTTCACTCATGTCTTTAATGTGAAAGTGTTTGTTAACTTTCCCTTGTAAACTAATTGACAGGCAGAGCCTTAAGTATGATATATAAGTAAATTTTTGGGTATACTATATTGGTTCATTAGCTTTTATTTAGCATCTTATTCACATATTCACACTAGTAACCATAAATGTATGTATTCTTCACAATTATAATTGTATCTAAAAGAATTACTTCCCTTAATCTGAAAAATATCTGACAAAATAAAATTTTATCAGAAAAAAAATATTTTAGATTGTTTTCATGTTAGAAAAAAAAGTAGTGTGATTTGTAAAGGGTTGCATAATTAGAGATGTGTTTCTAAATTCAAATATGCCTTTATTGTTTTCCGTCCTAAAATAAAATTTAGTTTTTACATTTACTACAGCAGCCATACTTTGAACAAAAGTTACTATTTTCAAGTACTCGATTATATTGCTAAAGATGCTAATCTCAAAGCCCTGGAAAATTTGTGATATAAAGAGAGAGAGAGAGAGAAATAAAGAGATGAGCACATGGGCTTTTTAAATATCACGATCTGCGACGTAGCATACGCCTCTATTTAGTTGTTGAATTCGACAGTACCAATGCTGCCACTGAAAATATTTGCTTTAAAACACTACCCCCCTCTTTCCACCAACCCCTACCCTACACCCCCCCCCCCAGTGAAAGCAGCCTCCTCTTAGTTACCTTCTGTAAGTTTAAAATAGTTTCAAACTAAATTATCTGCCCCTAATAGCCGACACTAAACCCGGCTCTAGGATTTGTAAACATTTATCGTGAACCACAGCTCACCAGACCATGTGGGGGTGGGGGTGGTAGTGAAAGTGATAGAGAGGAAGAGAAGGGACTTGCGGCTTGTTTTCTAACGTCTCCCAGAAGAGAATTATATATATATATACGAGCCGACCCGCGGTGTATCATACGCCACTATTTAGTTGTTTTTTTCTACTTTTCAGTAATTCATAATTTGTGAATTCGACAGTACCAATGCTGCCACTGAAAATATTTGCTTTAAAACACTAAACCCACATTCCCCCCCCCCCCCCCGTGAAAGCAGCCTCCTCTTAGTTACATCCTCTACGTTTTACCAATCAATCAAGAATTACCCCTAGGCCCCTATGCAAAACACCCAATCAACTGATACCAATTCTTATATTTTAAATCATCGCAGCTGACCATCAACAACATTTTTAATAAAGCGGAAGTGATCTCCCCTAAACTTTCTCGTATATTTTTATATAACACTGCGGGGATAATTCAACTTCTGAAAATGAATAGAATCTAGTAAAAACAAATGCGGACCAAGTGTGCAGCAAACATATGTATATAATAGAGCGGAATATTAGTACTTTATAGGCTTTAGAAAAAACACAAGTAGAATAAACTCCTTTTGCGGTTACCGAAGATCGCTGAAAAATTGATACAGAACTAAAAAGTTGATATAATACATGTATATGAAATTTCATAAACCTAGATGTAATGGTATGCAAGCTATCGTGTTTACAGACATACACATATACATACACATATACATACATACACACACAGACATACGAACGTAATTTCAAAACTATGTTTTCTGACTCAGGGAAGTGTAAAACGTCAAGATTTACAAAAACTCGATTTAGTTTTTCCGCAACATTAAAATACTTCATGTAATCGTTCCTGTGTCATACTTCTCTTGTTATTATACCACGTTAACGAGATTAGAAAAGCTTTTTAGTTGTGGGAAAGACCACGTGATCGATATAAACTTTATCAATGTTTATCTAATCTACTATACGATATCCCAACACATCAGCTGCTTCATATATCTAAGTGTTATCAAGCATAACAGGACAATGTACAGCACCAATGAACTCTCATTGATTAGATTAAAATTTTAAACAGGACACAATATGATTTGATGGTAGATGGAGGGTTTCTATTTTAAACTATTTTTTTTTTTTTTTTTTTTTTTTGCAATTCCTTAAAATTGATTATTCTAAAAAATTTTTTTAAAATTACACGATTAAGGTCTGTCCCAGAGTTCGACCAGCTCTGATGGCTGCCTGACACATGAAAGGAAACAAAGACTGCTGGGCTCAGTGTTGACAACACTGTTCCCGTGCATATCATGTCATTGAAACAGACGAAATCTATTTCAACTACCCGTGCGTCTTGAATAAGAATGGGAACATATGATGATGATAAAACTATTACCCAGCTCCGATATTTACTTAACTCGATTGAAGGGAGTGAACTTTCCGCGATATCAGCTAACCACTCAAGTTCAAAATGCTGATAAAGTCATATAGGTCTACTTCTCTACTTTGACCTTGAGGTCCTAAAGTGTGCTTTAAACACGAAAGATTTGTAGGCATAAAAATAAAACAGATGTAACACATATGGTTACCAGCCAAGGGGGGATAAGAATAAAGTTGTAATTCATTGGGTTGTGGCCCCTGTGGGACAGCAACTGTTGATTTAGTTTTTTTTTTGCACGCTCTTCGGTGAGGGTTTTTTACCTGTGTCCCATGTCATGTGACATTGGATTATGGGTAGTTCGTGCCTAGCCGTGTCAGTCAGACCTAAGGCTGCTGTCTGTGGACACGGAGGGTGACGGTACCTAGAGGTAGATCATGACAATGTAGACCTAATGAAGCTAATATTATGTTTTATATTACTGTATTACTCCTCCTAGTGCTGCATGTTGCAGACTAGGGGTGGAGTATCTTCGTTAGATTACTTTTCTGTATTATTTCTGCTAGTGCCGCATGTTGCGCACTAGTTAGGTGTTAAGTATTTATTTAAGTAGTCCTTATTGTGCTACTTATTGCTACTTATTGGCAGTAACATATTTTATTGCACCCGTGTATTTTTGTAGCCTACACGTGGTATTGTCAGTGTATGTAACCTTTTGTTTACATTTGTTTTAGGGCTGCAATACATTATTCATTATTTATCTATAAGTCGTCGTCTACTGTTTTCTACACTGTTTACTACTGTTGTTCCACGCGAAATTAATTAAAATGCATTGGCTTACTATGACTCATTGCACGTATTTTTGCTCCACGATTTTAATAGGCAATTTACTGATAATAATTGGAAGGGAAGTTTTGAAAAAAATGAAGAAAGAAAATCCTACAAGGACTAGGATGTTAGAAAAAATCAAAAATTCAATAAGGACTAAGATTCAAACATAACATAGTTATACTCAATTCAACTTTTACTTGATGCATTACCATGAGAAAATGGCTTAACTTACTACCATTTAAATATATAACAAGTGTTAAGAAGTGTAACGTTTTGACTTTATCCATTTACTATCGTAATATTTCTATATTTTTTTTGTTATTCTAAACGCCTCGTGGGACGGAGTGGTATAGCGGTAGAGAGCTGGACTTCTATCCGGTAAGTCTCGAGTTCGAATCCGGGTTCAAGTCAGTAGACCGTCCCTGAGTCTACCCAACTCTGATGGGTACCTAACTCACGTTAGGGAAAGTAAAGGCGGCTGGGCATAACGCTGACGACAATATCTCATCATATGCCGAGGTCACAGCAGAAGGGAAACTAAACTTTACTTTACTTTACAAACGCCTCGAAGCACCTTTACCCATTAATTTGAAATGTAAATTGTTTAATTGTATGTAAAACTAGCTATACCGATAATGCCCTACACTGACATTCGAGATTACATGTTCTGTAAAGGACCGTGGTTTGAATGCTAATTAATCAATGTATACACTGCGCTTAAGGGTTTGGGAATGTATACACTTGTATTTAAAAGTCTATATAAAAATCTGGCCGTTTGTCAAAATATAAACACAAACATAAGCGCAAACATAATCGCAGAGGTGTTATGAAGATTTATTTTTAGAATCGCCATCTGTCGTTGTTTTGAGCGTAGCATTATGTAATGCTGTTAAATTACACTTTGGTCATAACTTTAATCGGGTGAATTAAAGTCTTTCCTATAAAGGCTAGTATCGATTGTACACTTATACATTGACCAAAGTGACAAGCTGATAACAATATCTGATACCGTCAAGATAAAAAAAAAAACATTTCCCCAGCAATACAAGCTATGTTTTCAAGCTAGTAGAGAAATGTTCTTAAAGGTTAGTTTTTATAATATATATAAATAATTTACCAAAATATAATATTAATAAGAGGCCGAATAAGAAAATAGGATTTGTTCTCGACCTTTAAATATTCCAACTTTCATTAAACGTTATTTTGTGGTCAAAGATTATACGTCAAGCAAGTGTATTTTCGTATGATGGTATATGTGTAAGTCATGGTGGTGTCTTTATGAGGTAGAATGGGTCAAATTCAGTCTAGTGAGTTTACGAGTAGGTTTGGTACATTAATCAGTCAATCTGGTATATTTTTTTTCAAACATCAAACTGTTTTATTTACAATTTTTCGATGCATGTTTGAGAAGCCATTATAGTTCCTTGATAACACAGGCTGATATATTTAAGCAAGGTTTGAACCTTCTTTAGTAGGTAGTGTATTAGAACAGAATTCTAACTTGTTGTCAGACTAGTACTTTGATAACTTAATTTTCCGCCTTATACTTTTAAGTCTTTTTTTTAACTAAACAAGACTTTAACTTGTTAGCCAGAGCAGTGTCTTGCCAAGGCTGACTTATATCTTCAGGCCAGACTAGTACTGTAAGACTACCAATCTTTCCAATCTACCCTGTCTAGCCGGTGTTTATTTTATAGAGTAGAACAGTTATAAATCAGAATAATTTCTTTGTATTCAGTTTAATGGAATGAAAATATTCTAAGTATAACGATAACTTCTGGAGTAGTTTACATAAAAACAGGTCATATTGGTATACTAAGTTTAGACAATTAAGATATTTATCAGCATATAACAGAGCATTAAAAACTTATACAAAATTATAGGGACATAATTTTGAAAAGCTCGACAGTAAAAGATTGCCTTATCTAAAGGCCACGATATCCAAATGAAGAGACTCGCAAAAACGCACGTTTTGACAACCTTCAAGTTAGGGGTTGGGAGCGTGGTGTTTTGTAGGGGTTAGGTTACATATCCACCGGATGCTTTAGTGTCAATACTTAGTATGAACAGCGTTTCAGGGTTAAGTTGTAGGCTACATATATATAAAGTAGTGTATGATTTAAAAACGGCCACTCAACAGTCTGTTTAAATGTCAATTTCGATATTTTTATAGTGTTAAATACTTTAATGTCTTTAATATGTGGTGGAACTAAGGCATACGTTTAGCCTGTGAAATATTTAGTCGAGTATATTACTTCTATTTTTCTAGGGAGGTCGAAGAAATAATTGCGGTGATACAAGAAATGAAGGCACAATCTAACATACATTATTTCAGTTGCGAATAAAGTTGTTTTGTTTTTTTCTGTGTATCATGTTACAGTTTCATGCTTAGGGAAAATTTGAAAACAATCTCATAAGATGTGAATGAACCGTGCCACATTTTCAAGATTATTTTATCCTTTGTTTATACATTTATTCACTTAATTATAAATTTTATGGTTATTCATACGGTGGTTAGATATAACTCCAATCAAAAATGTACCTAAACATTTGAAGTTGAAAGATCAAAAATGTTAAATTCCGCACTGCTGCTAGCAATATAAAATACCCCTTCATAAACCGAACGTTCACTTAGGTTATCATTAGCAATATTATACTGGACATCATCTATTACATAATAGTCATCAACATCAATGTAAGAATTTACATCGCTTTCATTTCCAGATAACGACTTGTCGTCTTGTGGTTGTTCTCTTTGCTGTGTACATGGTGTTCCTGTTTACAATATATACATAATTAAATATATATATATATATATATATATATATATATATATATATATATATAATACATACGTATTTATATATTAATATATATATATATATATATATATATATATATATATATATATATATATATATATAAGTAGCTAAGTATCGACTCGATCTACTAGCTTAAACAATAGTCTACATTGTTAGTTCGTTGTGTTTGTAATGCGACATTTTTTTAAAACGGATATGCTTAGCTAGGATGAATAAAACGAGATTACAGACAGTTAACAAAAAATATATTTCTATATTTTATATTGGACGTTTTAGAAGTTTAAACCTTGTATACCTTTATTTTTCTTTAATAAGAAACCTCCTAGGCAAATTCCAATAACTACAATACACGCACCAGCAGTAGAACCAATTACCAGGTTGTGTGTTATTTCTTTTAAGTTTGTTGAATAATTGTCATCATTTTCTATAAGAAAGAGTTTGGAATTACTGGTTTTAACCAAAACATGTCAAGTTTGATTGTGTATCGTATTATGCGTGATGCTTATTGTAAGATATATTTAAATCATACTTGCGCAAAATGTATAATAATTTTTTATCGAAATATAAAACTGTATATATTATATTTTAATTGCAATAACTACATATATTACAATTAAACATTATATTTTAAAGTATTATTATGAAATGACATTTTACTTTCTAAAAATATTTTGTACACTGACCATCATAGTTCGTGTCGTTTACAGTTATGTATTGTTCATCCTTGCTTTCATGTGATTCCTTCTCTGAGAAATAAGCTAGTTTACAAGTTTTGTTTTTATAAATTTTTTACATGGCTCAGTATACATTAACATAATCCCTGTCTGCTATGCCCTATTGCATTTCATATTTTAATCGTTTCTTTACTAAACGGGAACCTGACCCTTCCCCATGCAATATACTACATTCTCAGTTACTTAAAAAAGTAAGACCGATATTATTTTGCTAAAATCTTCTACATTGGGTTTAAATTTTAATATTTCATCACGACTGCTTCAAATAAAAACTAAATAAATTACAGGACAGGGGGTTTAGCTGCAATATTTAGTGGTCATACAAGATGTTTCACAAACTCACCATCAAAATTTGAACTTGTCAAAGTTATGAAGTCATTTGAAGAGACGAAAGATGAATTCTCATTGTCAATTGATGTTAGAAAAACTCCTAAATTGTTAATATTATTTTTTTAACAAAACTTAAACAAAATTTATGTTTGTTATGGTGATAAAGGATGTTATATTATTTAATATAAATACAATACTAGGTTATATTCCATTGACCGCAATTGCGTATTTTATAATAGAAAACAATTGCTGCAACGTTCATAGTTTTACTTATCCTGGCCACTTCCGTTGACTTCGTGGAGAGGTGTAGGGCGGCTTTTAAAAATATTTGACTTGATTAAATAATCCTAAACAGCTTTTCAACGGCTCATATTCAATACACAAATACGGAAATGAGTGTAATCGATGGTTACAAAACGGTTTTAATTTTTAAAAATGGAAAAACAATAGTAGTGCTTGCAATGATTTTTTAAAGATGTAAAAAATAATATATGTAAAATAATATGATTTAAAAGACTTTTCAAGCCTATTGTAAATGAAAATATTAAAGTAGAGTATTATTATATATATATATGTGAAAAGATCATTTATTTTCTTCTTTTTAGTACATTATAAAATACAAACTTGTCATTAAAACGGTGTTTATGCAAAATTGTAACATTTATGTAAAAAAGTTTTAGCATCAAATGTATTACTTCTTTCCAAAAAAATATTGCAACTTGATGGGATCTTACATTATGATTATTTGTGCTGGTTAACAATAAAATTAAACTTAATGCAATATATTTACACATAGTAATTTGTACTGATTATTATGGTGAGCTTTAACAACTCCAGGTTTGGTTCAACACTTTACTTTAATAAATATAGTTTCGGCTAAGTTTTAAATTTTTGTTTTATAAATAAGAATACTAGAACAAAGATATGTACATCATTCAAACTATTTTTAAACTTACCGCATATTTTAGTTATTATTTCAGAATTATTAAGTGTTGTTAATAGATGGGTTGTATCACTGACTTCTATTGAGATGATTGTAAACTCTAAACTTAAATCCCCCTTTTTTGTACAAAAGCATCTAGGGTGAAATTTTTTACACCGTCCATGTTCAATCACGAAGGTGCAGACCTTTGATGAAAACATTACCTACATAATTATATTCTACATAACTTGTAATGATAATTCTTAAGTTGCTATCTTTATGCTTTTGCATTTGATCATATTTTTATCAGAGTTGTAAGAATAATAAATTACAGTTTAATTAGATCGTGGAAAAAAATCAAAACAGAAACAAAACGGTACTTTTCAATTAGTTTTTATACAATAGTTTGAGCTAAAAGGTAAACAGGACCAAATAATTAACATAATTTACTTACGTTTGTGTATTCAGTGGCTGGGTCTGTGAAGTTTTTTTCATTTTTACTAAAGTAAATATCAATCGATCCATTGAGACTCATAGTAAATGAGGTGACAAAGGTCAAGTTGTAATTAGCACTGGTATTGTTACAAGGTATTTTGCTTTCAATTACTACTTCCGACAATAATGATCCTGTAACACATCAATATGTATCACAAAAATGCTAATACAAATACACTTTTACTAAACAATTTCGAATAGCCGATGAAGATTCTTCTTCTTCTTCATTATTAATGTTTTTAGTGTTGGAGGGGATCGATTGAAATAGTATTGATTCTTCAAATGTACTGTTAGAATTAAAAATAATTTCAGAAATGTTAAGAGTGCCCTTTATCATCTAAAGTAACTTGTTATATTATGTACTAAACTTTAAATGTGTGAACTAAAACCGAAGATTCTTAACAAAAAATCTGTTGTTTTGTTGAATTTGGGCGTTTAAAATAACCATACATTTAATATTTACATCAAAGTTGTGTTTGCTTTCAAAAACACAATTGAGTTTCTGTGCGATGGCTTGTTGATTATACATTCGGATTATTATGAAATCTAACTGCATGGTTACATTCTCGTATAAAAAGGATAGATAAAGTATTGTAATCGTGCACAAAAATCGAAATCGAGGTGAAAATTTCGACGTTTTACAGTTTCCCTAGTCGGAAAAAGCATTGTAATTTTGTCGTTATATCTGTGTGTCTGTGCATCCTTGTGTCTGTGTGACTATAAACACGATGGTGGCCGGAAAGAACCGCAACGGAAAAAAGCGCAACGGAAAAAAGCGCAAAACAAAAAGCGCAACGGAAAAAAGCGCACACGGAAAAAAGCGCAAAGAGAAAAAAGCGCACACAGAAAAAAGCGCAAAGAGAAAAAAGCGCAAACGAAAAAAGCGCAAAGAGAAAAAAGCGCACACAGAAAAAAGCGCAAACAGAAAAAAGCGCACACGGAAAAAAGCGCAAAGAGAAAAAAGCGCAAAGAGAAAAAAGCGCAAAGAGAAAAAAGCGCAAACAGAAAAAAGCGCAAACAGAAAAAAAGCGCAAACGGAAAAAAGCGCAAAGAGAAAAAAGCGCAAACGGAAAAAAGCGCAAAAAGAAAAAAGCGCACACGGAAAAAAGCGCAAACGGAAAAAAGCGCAAAGAGAAAAAAGCGCACACAGAAAAAAGCGCAAACAGAAAAAAGCGCACACGGAAAAAAGCGCAAAGAGAAAAAAGCGCAAACAGAAAAAAGCGCAAAGAGAAAAAAGCGCACACAGAAAAAAGCGCAAACAGAAAAAAGCGCAAACGGAAGAAAGCGCAAAGAGAAAAAAGCGCAAACGGATAAAAGCGCACACAGAAAAAAGCGCAAACGGAAAAAAGCGCAAACAGAAACAGAAAAATGCGCAACCAGAAAAAACACAACGAAAATTGTGCAAAAGAGAAATTTAGCACAAAGACCATATGGACTAGATGCGCATATTCCGTTCAAATTTTAATCAGAAGTGGTATTTTACTGTATTTTGGAATGCGCTTATTTGCGTACTGGTTCAGCTAAGAAGATGAAATTTCATTTGTTAGTAAAAAAATTTATTAATAAAGGACTTTAATTTTTTTACTGACCTTTAATAATCTAAAGTGGTACTTTACTCTCTGGTCGGCCTGAAAGTGACGTCCCCTTTATTGTTATATAAGAATATGCAAGAAAGTTGAGCGGAGATAACTCGCGCTTTATTTGTGATAACTTTAAATTTGTTGTAAATATCCACATCGTTATGATGCATGTTTTATGAATATCAATTGGAGATAATGATTGTTGTTGCGGGTGTATATTAAATAAACCGGGAGTGATCTCCCCTAAACTTTCTCGAATATTCTTATATAAAATAACAGGGGATGGGAACTCGGGCTATAGACATGATTTTTAATCCATTTTAAATACTTAAAGTTTTAAAAATAGAATAAAATCTCGTAGACAAATTAATTGCACACCAAGTGAACGCCAAATAAAAAAGCGCATAATGGTGCGCAATATTATTATTACTTTTAAAATTTACATTAGTTTTTTGAGAAATCGGAAGTAGCGTAAAGTACTACTTCCAGTCAACGGAAAAGACTCAAAATTTAATAGAAGGTAGAGAATTAGATCTTTTACTTACATATGAAATTTCATTTATCTATCTGAAATAGTACTCAAGTTATAGGCTTTTGAACAATTCAAAGTAGGAAAAGTACCACTTCCGGTTATCGGAAATCGCTCAAAAGTTGATACGGATCTACGATTTTGATTAAATACTTATATATGAAATTTCATCAACCTAGCTGTAACGGTACTCATGTTATCGTGTTTACACACGGACAGACACACAGACATACGGACAAGATTGCAAAATTATGTTTTTCCGTATCAGTGAGGTGTGAAACGTCGAGATTTGTAAAAATCTCGATTTTTTTTTTGCACGATTACAAGACTTTCTCTATACTTCGTTTATACGAGAAAGTAAAAAATTATAGTGTGACGCCCATAAAAATATAGTGAAGTGGAACGCAGAAAAAAAGGGGGGTTGTATAGAATGAAAGCAAGGGATTATGGGCTAAGTAGTAAATTTGAGAGGTACTCCATGTGATGTTCAAATCATGAATAGTTTTATGCCTATTTAATATTTAGAATGAGTACAGAAGTTTAATAAATAGTGAGATAGAAAATAGTTGGCATTGCATCGTTTTGATTTGGCTGTGTAATATCCCTGTAAAACACTAACATGTTATTTTTCTGCCTCATATGTTTAAACCAATCATAATCGATGGACTTGTGTGACCGTGTCCGTTTCTTATTGGACCTATTAGATCTATTCAGTCCATGTCGTTTATTGTGACAATGTTCAGATATCATTTGAACATTAATAGCTCTTTATTCCGAATAGTCTGTGGTTATTGTCAACACAACTAACTATAAAATACGCATTGCTTAACGCAGAGATCATGTTCACAAAAAGAAGCTAAGCTCTACTTTTCTAAAGTAGTTTACTTGAAATTGAGCTATACTTTTAATTATAAAACCGCGTGACTTAATTAAGGTAAAAAATTCACAAATAACTTATTTTGGTAGTAAAGCATACAAAATATAGTAAAAAAATGATGAATACTTGCCATAAGACAATTGAAAATATATTAACAATACAGGTAGACAAGATGTCAGAATATTATACATATATTTCATTTTCTTTTTAAAAATATAAATTATTCTTCAATAGATTAACACAATAAACACTGGTGTCTTGCTAATACGACTTAAGTTTGATAGTGTATTAAATAATTTAGGATGTTATATGGAAGGAAGTAGGCTCTTAATTTTTGTAAGGGAGAGAAAATCATTGATTCCTATGGCTATTGTAACATGTTATAAAAATAAAAACTTGTATTTTGTTATACTTTCGATTGTTTGAAATCATTGTTTTCGTATACATACACATACGCACGCTCATGCACAAAACACTAACACACACATTGAAGAGCACGCATATATGATATATGTTATGTATATATACTCGTTTTATGTATTTATGTACATTTATATGTGAATACATAGGTTTTAATTAACTTACAAAATTATTTATTCAGGTGTATGCATTGCTAGAATGGTGGATTATCATTTTGAATTGCTTTTTACTATTTAGTGTAAAGGGTAGGTGACATATTTTTTTCTAACTCATTTTTAATATAAAAGTAAAGTCATTTTAATAGTCAAATTCCATCACGAGCTATAGATCTACATTAATTTTCTTTTGTCTTTGTTTTCTAAATACTGTTGTCATCTTCAGGTCAGCTGTGTGAACCATGTGAAGAAACGATGCCATGCAATATCTCTTACACAATGCAGGACAATGCAAGCATCCTATCACTATCCTGGTACAGCAACGGTAACGAAGCGATGACCTGCTACTTAGACTCAAGCGACTGCAACGTCTACCCACAATATAGAAAACTGATAACATCTTTAACAGAAGAAAAAAACAGAAATTTGACACTTAATCTCATTTTTTTAAAAACCGGACGACAAATTAATTCTATAACGATTGAACGAACTTGGAAGTTAATTGCTTATTATTTGAAGCTGCCACCAAAAGTTTTATTTATTTGTGACCTAAGGATCTACAGTAAGTCGCGAATATTACGTTTATACTTTTAAAGAAAAGCTAAGATATATATCGACATATAGCACATAAAGCATGCATAAACGCAGCTACATAATTACGTGTTTGTCAAGGGTATGTCTCGTCTGGGTAAGAGGTCCCCTAAACCCTAATAGAGTGTTTTATCTATGTTACAGTTTACTATACCTTATTTAACAACTACAATATAATAGTTGACATGTGGCTTTAAAAGTTTACAAGAAGCTTCAATAGCAATAATTCGTACAATGAAAACAGTGATACTAAGGTTAATGACAGCATTGATGATGAGCCACTAGTCGTCTAGGAGACCATGTCCGACATGTTCCACACACAAACCTCCGAGTCTGCTAGTCTTATAGCCCCAAGTTGACAGGCTTCAGATAAAGCCACTAAATCCTATCCATTATAAATAACTAGGATCTACAATAACAATAATTACTAGTATTGAACAAAGCAAAAAAATGATATTATAATCAAACATATTTCTTAATTATATGGAGTACTGGCTTTTCAATACAATCTTTAAACAAAGTATACAATGTCATAATACGATGTGAACCGTTTAGAATTAATTTACTATTCTTTAATATCTAAGATACAAAAAGAGGATACTTATTATACATTTTTAAATTGTATTTAAAATCAGATTATTCTATAAACATAATAAAATTAACCATGTAATTATTACTAAAAGCAACATGCAATGTCTTTTATAACCCATTACTCATTGTAGGTTGTAAAAGTTTATTATAAAAATAATTATTATAAAATTATTGCAGAGAAACCAAAGGATGAAAACTGTATTTATGAAGTTGTAAATGAAGGACTTAAAATAAGATGTATTAGTTTTCTCTCTTACCCTAAACTTGATTGTGTGTTTGATGGACCAATAAACAAGGTGAGTTATATATAACTGTGTTACAAATAAGCATAAGATTAATTACACACATAAACTATTCGGTAAACTTCGTAATAATTATATACAAATTAAACAATGGGAAATCAAATTGCAAAACGATTTAGAAAGTTTATTAAATAGTTATTTATCTACCTAATAGTTTTATCAATTTTTTTTTATTTTAAATTATATATATATATATATATATATATATATATATATATATATATATATATATATATATATATATATATATATATATATATATAAATGATCGGGTGCCCCGGCGCCGCAGGCGCTTCAAATTCGGCAGGATAGAACACGGTGGCCAGTGCCGGTCGGTTGCAAAGTCCACCGAGAGAGGGTCAAAACTGACCTCGACTGAGAGACACCTTATATGGTTTATATTAAACTTTTTGTTGAACGACCTTCTGTAGGGTGGTAGCAAAACGCCAAGGAGTGTCAGAAAAAACTCGGCGTATCTGGGAAAACTTCGTAAAGTGGTCAAAACTGACCAGTCGTATTTCCCTATTCAATTTTTGCATTTTATGGGTAAAAATAGGGTAATTTCAACAAAGATTTCAAGTCGCTTACCCTCTGTACATCACTTATTTTTTGCAAGTTTCTAGTTAAATGGCTAGGCCGTACGGAAAAACTGTCGGTTTGACTCTTGCCTTCGAAGAGGGTTAAAAAGTGACGGCGTGTAAATGTCTATTTATATGAGCTTTATTACGAAAAAAAACATGCCGAACGACTCCCCTTAATATTTTGTTGGGTGACAGGAGAAAGCCTAGAGGCGTCAGAAAAAACTCGGCATATCTGGGAAAATAGTCAAAACTGACCAGTCGTATTTTCTATACAATCATTGTCCTTTACGGGAAAAACAACACGAATTTTAGGGCACTTACCTTCTGTACACATGGCTAAGTTCTGCTTCTAAGTAAATGGCTAGGCTGGAGCGAAAAAACTGTCGGTTTGACCAAAAGCCCTCGACGAGGGCTAAAAAGGGACCGCGAGTAAAATTCTCTTTACATGAGCTTTAGTAAAACATTTGCCGAACGACCCCCTAGATATTTTGTGAGTTGATAGAAGAACGCATAGGGGTGTCAGAAAAATAAATCGTCTTAAAAATGGGTCAAAACCACCAGTCGTATTTCCCTATATAGTCTTTGTATTTTTATGGGAAAAACAGATGGTAATTTCAACACGGATTTTATGGGCAATTAACCTCTTTATATTGCTAAATTTTCTGCACGCACCTAGATAAATGGCTAGACCGTATGTAAATACTTGACGAGGGCTAAAATGACAGCGAGTGAAATTCTCCTTAAATAACTTATATATAAATAAATAGTGATGTCGTAGACCGACACTAGAGGGTAACAAAAAAACTTTATTCCCGTCGGAAAAAACGTTTTACAGCCGTTAGATTTGTCCAGATGTCGTATTTTCTTATATAAATAATTGTTTGTGAAAACGTAAACAAAGACTAGGCCTACGTCATTTTGACTTTGTACAGGGAGGTAGTTTATTAAAGTAATATTTTGAAAATAATTTTTATACTATTTAAAAAAATACAAATAATAGTATTCGTTCAAATAGATATTTTGTTATCAATTAAATTGTGTAGTTTACTGAAACTGTAAAAATTAATCGCAAATCTGAATTTATTATAGTTTTTGTTTTATACTATTAAGTATACCTTTGCGTTTACTCCACCCATGTTTGCATGACAAGAATTACAAAGACTATTTAAATTTAGGCCATAACCATTTAGCAAATCACTAATTAATTAATTATGCAAATTATCAATTTCTTAATTTTAAAACCTAAGCAAAGCTAGGCAGCATGCCCAGTATATATATATATATATATATATATATATATATATATATATACAATACTTATTTTTTTCGCTTTAGAAGATGAAATCATTTGTGTCTAGAGTCAACCACACAACAGTTCAACATAGTCCTGTCTATTACAACTCAGAGTGCTCAGTTATTATTGCTTGCGAATATTTAGTGAAATGTTTACTATAATTTAATGTAACATTTTATCCAGAAAAAGAAGAAAATGGAGACAAATATAAATATGGATTGACATATCCAATCGAAATGGATATTGGTAAAGTATATATTTACTTTTAAGAAACTAACAACGCAATTAGTCCAATTTGCAATTCTGCTAATGAATATTTACAGTAAAAGATGATGAGGCAATCAAATACATTTTGAATTATTATTTATTTTCCACAGAATATGTAAGTAACAAGTCATCATCATGTCTATACTTAAGTAACAACTGTGTAAATAAAACATGCCTATGTGGTTATAACAAACAGATACAAAGAGACATTAATCAACCAACTTGGCCTTATAAAATTCTAAAGAATACTACAGATACTGTATTCGGAGAAGATGTTGGTAAGTTTACTATGTTAATCTGCATTATATATATATATATATATATATATATATATATATATATATATATATATATATATATATATATATATATATATATATATATATATATTTAAACTGATTAAAATGATACAAACAATTCATTAAAAAAGATTTTTAGCAAGATTTTATTTAATGCCCTAAAAAGAAGAAAATAAATTATTTTCTTTAATTATATAATATCAATGCACTACTATTTAATGAACTATTAAGAAAAGCGTAAGTCACTTTATTATCTACTGAATACCTTTACTAATATTTAGCAAGAGACCCGCGCTTTTCTTTAGACTAATTTAACGTGGTAGGCTCTTGTAAAAAAATGTAAAACTCGTAAGAAAAAAATCATTTCCCTATAGCTTCTTTAAGGTACAGCTGCATAACTGTTTCCACTAAAAAAACTTGGTAACTAAGACAACGGCGGTCATCCTGAACAATAAATCCCTTCGTAAGATTTTCACCATTCATACAATAATTTTTTAAAGCCCAATAGACAATGAATTCATAATCTTCTACCATAAATGGCGGTACGCAGCTAAATATTTTAAGTGCATACATTCAGACTAATTTATTATGAAATTTCAAAATTTAAGCCAGTTAAAAATACTAAAGTTTTTTTTTAATTTTGGGGTATGAAAAATACTATTTTTAACGGACCCACAATTTGAAAATTCTTGATAAATTAATTCTATATTGCATGATGCACTTCTTTACAGAAAGCACTTCACTAATATTGACAATTTCGGTCATATCTGCTGTTGCCATTTGTATGTGTAAGTATTAACTGACGAATACATTTTCTCATAATATGTATACATTTGGACATACATTTAAGTACAACTACATACATGTATATATATATATATATATATATATATATATATATATATATATATATATATATATATATATATATATATATATACTAGCGTATACTAGCGTTGCCGCGTGGATAGAAGAAAGTCTGACGAAATATATTAGAAGGATTTCACCAACGCGTTACCAATCATATGTTCTTAGACGCGTGAATTGTTTTCTAAAAGTGAGTTATTTAAATGTAAACATTGCCTGCGCTTGGATCATAATTACCGGGACACGGGTTTAACTACACTACCAAATGAAACCCTTGAATGTACGTTAATCACTCACCAAAATAATGAGGTAGAACACATTTCTTGACCACCCATGTATCGTAGAGAGGCACTCTCGGGAGCCCCTCAATAACACTACCGCAGAGCCGCAGCGTGGGGGTGTAGGACAAAAGGACGACATCCAAAAGGCCAACAAGACATAAGGCCGACACGGACAAAAGGCCGACATGGACTAAAGGCCGACAGCCAAAAGGCAGACAGCCATATGGCCGACAAGCATAAAAATACTAATATCGCACAATATGTGTTACTGCATATCTCCTATCTTGAAAACCATCGAACTAAGGCATGAAAAAAGGTGAAACGTTCAAGAGAAGAGACGATGCTAGTTTCTATCCTTATAAGGTGAACCATCGGGTCAAGCGACTGGAGATTACGGGAGTGTCTTAAACACAAAGGATCAACACCTAAATATTGCGAAATGCTGTCACAGCTGTCTTTCATTGTTCCTTCTATGTAATCGAGGTGAGATAATCATCAAAGAACCAAGTCAAAAGCCGCCGGCATCATCGCCCACATGCAACAAGGTGGAACGCCAAGAGACAATGCTAGTTGCGATACTTGTAAGGTGGACAATGGGGTCCATGCGACTGGCGATGACGTGAGTGTACCAAGGATAAACAGAAAGATGGTGCTACCACCATATTTCGCAAAGAAATCAAAGAAACCGAATGAAGTAGAACAATCACGTAACTTG